TGCGTTTAAAACTGTAAAGTATGACATCAAGAAAAATTTTTAGCTTTCAATAGATGTTGCGATTTTTGTGCTGTTGCTTAATAATTTGATTTCTAATTATAATTAAAAATCAGTGTCATTAGCGACTGACAGTTCTGCACTTTTCTTGCTAGTATCTCTATACAAAACATAAACGTGATCGGCCATTGACACTACTGTCCTTACTAATAAAATTTATTATTCATCCTATTAATAAGTACTGATTATCAAAATCTTATCATTCAACCATCGTGTAAACAATATAATTATTAGGACTTGATGAGCCATTTGCATGCTAGAATAGTTGCATATTTCTATTGCAACACATGGTGCAATAATAGTTAAGTATTGCAACACATATAAAACACTGACTATCTGCAACAGGTCAGCACGTTATGCATAAATAATAGTATATTTTACCTCATAAGAAAACAAGAGAATGATCAAAATCTAAGTTACTCTATTTTTTTTTTCTATAATTTCACTGTTTCCTAAATTTATTTTTGTATTAAAAATATATTAGGAAAAAATCAGTAAAACTTATGAATCAATAATTATGTCTTACTAAAAGTTACTTCTATCCCTGTCATAAAAAAATACTTTTAAGTGGTTAGTAGTAACAGGGACAAAATTGACAAAAACTTTTGAAGTAGTATTTTGTCTAAGCCTAGTTAGGGTTAATAACTTCATTTTGAGTATTAAAAAATTCGGCAATAGAATGATTATTACTGATGAAACAAGTTATAAAAGTGGAATTAAATATAGAATGTGGAGACAGTAGTAACGGTTAGAAAAACTATTGTTACTTAAACTTCGATGCTAAAATCATAAACCAACAAAATCTTGTCCGATTTCGATGCTGAAATCAAACCTATAATCTGAAAAATCAGAAAATTTCATTTGTATATGAAGAATAAGGAATCATAAATGCTTCAATCCTATCTGGCTTATTTTAATATCTTTTTATATAGCAATATAATATATTTTAATCTAATTTTAATATCCGGTTCAGTTAAATAATATTTACAGTAAGGAACAGTAGTGACAGATGAACTAAAGAATGCTTTTAAAATGTAACTGGTAGGCTTTAAAAGTTTTAAAACGATCGAAAAATCTTTCGAAAAAATTTATTTGAATAAAGGAAACAGTCACGAATATCACACTTTCTGGAGAAGGATACATAAACTGAAAAAGCATAGTGGCATAAAGAAATTCGAATCAGTCAAAAATATACAGTCATATGCATCTTTCTCAAACTTTCCATAAGTTATGGAAAACCTCTCTCTTTCACTTTTATCAACCGATATTTCAGAAACAGATATAACTATAAAAAATATTAGCACCATGAAATGTGTTTATAAAAAAAACTATTGAAAATTATTTAGAATAAATAAACTTTAAAAATAAATATTTATAATAATAATTGTTCATAAAATTTAATTTCATGCGAGTTAAATTCCACTTTAACCAAATATTATAACTATATAGCGATAATTACGCGTAACATGTAATACGTTTATTAAAATTAATAAGAATTATAATTATAAGTACTTACAAATTTACTTAATTTCAGTTACATTGTGAATTAATCAAATGTAATAACTAAAATTAAAACAATTTCAAGCTATGAGCAATGTGCATGAAACAAAGTGGTTAAAGCAAAAACGAAGATACAGAAATGGGCACGCACAAATATATAGAAATCGACAGAAGAATTAAAAATACAGAAAAGGAAAAGCATAAATATAGATACGGAAATGGAAAAGCTTGAATAAATATAGTTGGGCAAGAACTAATAAAGATAGAGAACTGGGCAAGCAAAGTTAAAGATAAAAAAATAGACAAGCACAGATAAAGACAGAAATGGAAAAGCAAAGATAAAAATACAGAAACATACAAGTACAAATAAAGATGCAGAAATAAGCAATCACAATTAAAAGTACAGAAATGAACGAGAGTAAATAAAGGTACAGAAATTGACATGTAGTGCTTTATTCACTTTTTTTTTGTTGCTTTTTTCATACTTAGCACGAAGTACACCCCATTTTAATTTGAACTCTCAATTTGTTTTGAATTATTTTAATTTATTATTTTAATTTATTATATTATATTTATTTTAATTATTTATTTTTATTTTATTTATTAATTATTAAGAATAATTGTTTAAAATTATTTTAAGCGTTAGAGATAATTATTCATTAATGAAATGAAACAAATTCTTCAGAATATAATGGAAAAGGTTTAGTCTGCTTAACTGTTATTGTATTTCTAATGTGGAGTTCTAGTCTTCATTTCTCTCTTTGACAATAATATCTTAATAACTTTGCTTAAATATGTTTTTACTTAGGCTTCAAATCAAACTTCAATTTCGTAAATATTTTAATTTTTGTTGTTTATTATTAAATATAAATTAATTTGAATATGTGTTTATTTTATTTATTTTTAATGCGTTTCTTTAAAATAAATAGCTTTTGAGACATTTTCTGTCAGAAATCCAATTAACTTAAATATTTAAAAAAATTATCGAACTTCACAGGAAAATTACATACCAAACACATTTCAATTTTAATCGCAATTTAAAAATCCGTTCGTTAAATCAATAAAAAATGAATTATACCCACGCAAAAACTAAAAATATATCCTGGAAAAATCATTTAGAATTTTTTTCCCTTTCAAATTAATGACTTTCTTCAATAAATGGGCAAGATATGCTAATATATAAATGGAATGTCTATTTCGAAATCAAAGGAATTCACACAAAGTTCTGCAGATTTTTTCAGAAAGAAAAATCAATTTTAAATGCTAATTTCCTTGTATATTTACGGTAAAACTAAAAATATTTCGAAACAAATCAAGTTTTGCAAATGATTTATCCGAATCAAAGCGTAGTTGGCTTCATTTTAAAATTCAGAATATTCCATAAAATTAAATTCTTTCCCCTTTCTTTCATAGTTTTTCCTAATTCCATGTTAAAATGCTTTTCTTTCAACTCTGCAAAAGAATTTATCAATGAAATCTGCATAATTGCGCTGAAACCACCCACAGTGCCAACTTTTGACTGTTTTACACGGTTCAGTAAAACTTCGTTTTATTTCGATTTCGTTTATTTATTTAAATTAAATCCAATATCAGAAGGATTAAAAGTTCGCTAACTCATTATGTAAAGATTTGGAATGCTTAATATTGACAAAAGCGAGCAATTTCTGATTTTAAACGTAGTTCGCTAATTAAATTTAACTCTACGTTATGCATGTTTTCAGTATCTACAGTATAAAAAAGAATGCTTCATAACTTAAATATCTTTGTTATCCGTTCATTACAGACATTCACAACTTAATAACCGACCACAAGAAGTTGTCTATGTATATAAAACTCCTACATGCAAAAATAGTGCTACACATTTACTTATGACAAATGAATACTTTTATCTGTTACTAACAATTTTACATTAAAAAATCTATGCACTTTGACTTGAAATTGAAATATTTACATTATTATTTTATGGTTGAAAAAACTACTCAGTTTTTCCACTCAAAAGCCTAATAATGAAACACTAATGTTTCCATCACTTTTTTCTTCGCAGGAAAAGATCCGCCCTTTTAAAAAGGAAGCTAAATACAAATGGGTTAATTAACAGTGGGTTAATTCAGTTAACAAATGGTTCCGTTAACAAAACTATGCAGTTTTTCCACTCAAAAACCTAATAATGAAACACTGATGTTTCCACCACTTATTTCCTTGCGAGAAAAGATCCTTCCTTTTAAAAGGATGCTAAATACAAATGGGTTAATTAACAGTGGGTTAATTCAGTTAACAAATGGGTTAATTCAGTTTTAATGTTATCTTTTGTCTGATATATTTTAAAATATCAAATCTTCTGTTCAACTTTTATATGACGAAGCAAAAATAAGTACAAACTCAAATATTTTCCGTCAAATACACTACGTTTTCTTGTTCATATAATATAAAAATACATTTATGCTAAAGTTATATTTTCTATTAAAGTTATATATTTTAAAGTCATAATACAAAATTTTCTGCTAAAGCTATATGTATAACTATTTTCATTAAATTATTAACTAAGTTTACATTAACTTACTGTATGTCCGATATTCATATGCTTTTTTAAATACATTGTTGTAAAATATAATATTTTATACTCAATGTTCACGGATTTTGTCTTCTTTTTATTGCGAACTACATATTTATATCCACATATTATATCTACATATTATATCCACATATTTTATGTATTTAATAGATTATATATTTTTCAATAATATATGCTGAAAAGCTTGTATATAGTGACTTAAGATTATAAACTGGTTATAAGTAGATTAAGTGCTTATAGAAGATTAAAATTTATGAAAAAGTGGAAAGTAAAGCATCTTTTATGGAACATTTTTTTTCAGTGTAAGATGACTTATAACAACTAAAAATGCTAATTTTGCATACTTGTATAATGTTAAGCCTTTTATCCATTGTAAATTTGCATGTTAGATAAAACTAAACCAAAATCAATTCTCAAATCTAAACCAAAATCAAATCATTTTTCAGTTGATAGAAATTAAAAAAATTTGTCGTGTTAAAATATTAACTAATTTACACTAATTATTCTTTTTTTAATGCAGCTTTTCTATAAAAATTTTCTACGAATTGATCTCAAACTATCTTTAGTTGTTCAGTGATCAATTAATAAAGTTAAACTTTTAGAAATTATAAGTAATTATTACTTACGGATTGGAAATTATTAAGAACTTTTTGATTTAAACGAAGTCAGTATGAAATTAAAAAATACTGCAATTTATATAAATTTGAATAAATTGAAATAAATTTGTCGTTCTTATAGTAAAGAACATAATATTTTTTTGAGTTTGTAATTTGAATTTTTTTACTGTCTGCTGAATAATAAGTGCCGTTTATGTGAATTGTATACTTAATATGCTCTTATACTAAGCTTATATATATTTTTTCTTTTTTAGGTAAAATAGTGCCCAGTTCTTTGGCTCACTCACTAAGAGGCCTGAAAGTAAAACAGGTAACTTGATATGCTTTTTTGATTTCCTTATTTTAAACTTTTATATCTATACCATTTGGTATATTATACACGTCAAAATTAAATTTAATTTTTTAAAACTGGTGATACTGAATTTGTAAAATATACCTTTTTAGTGTTCTCTTTTATAATCCAATTAAAGTTATACATAAAAAATAGTTTAGTTTTTTTTTATTTAGGAGAAAAACTTAAAGAAATTGTGAAAAAGTATTATTCAGAATTTTTTCAATCCCTTAAAAAATATCCATTCCATGGAAAAGTTTTGAGGGAACATATTTTTTTTCTACAGTAGAAACAATAATCAATCTTTAAAAATGGCTGAACAAACTTTAAGCCTTCTTATTTTCGGACTTCGATATTTTATAATATTTTCCAAATTTATTAATACATTCAGCTTTAATAAATTTCGGATTCACTTACGCTTAGTATATCCTTTTAATAAATAACATCATGGTTTGTTTCTACTCACACGAAGATTTCATTTTATTTTGTCTTTAAATATTGATTTAGATCTTTGTGGAGAACATTCCTAAGAATGGTAAAAAATATTTGTTCATTTCAGATACCTTAAACAAAGTTTAATTAGATGCTGTAAGTGACAGTATGGTTTGATTTTTTTTTCTGTACTGAATCTCTGCATTATAAGATGCGGTTTATTTTATATCTACACATCATCTTTATTAAAGACGATTATCATGCACTAGTTTAAATTTGCAAAATAAATATTTCTGATATTTATCCATACCTGATAATTTGCTGTAAAATCATTTCGAATTGCTGTAAAATCATCAATCATCATCTATCGATATCTATATCTATCGATATCTATATCGATCCATCTAAAAGTTATTAGTATCTTTTTCTAAATATAGAGAAAAAAATACGCATTTGTTGTCTCAATTTAGTTTTTAGCCAAGAAAAAAAATAGGAAGACTTTTAAAGTTGACAACAAATGAGTTGAGAACACAATGAAAGAAGATGAGTAGGAAGAACATCGAAATCATTTTAATTTACAGGGTTCTAATAATCACTTTTAACTCAATCCATTTTTCAAATGTATGCAAATTTTTAATTTTTCCATCAAACAGGTATCCGTTTCTCAGTTCTGATGTATTTAGTTGTGATGTAATATTCTAATTCTTTCCTTCTTAAAAATAAGTTTGTGTCCCCCAATGTTTATACATTTTTTAATGTCTTAATTTTTATTAAGTGCTAAAAGGTGCTTATTTTTATTAAGGTTTTTCAAAATCCCTTAAAGATGCTTTTTTTATTCGCGGTTTGTAAATAGTGCTTAATTTTCAATCTTTTAGAAAGAGATTTTTTTCTTTGCCATGTCGATTGTCATTTTAAATTGCAAAAAATGCGTGCAATACTTATCAGAAACTAGTTATTTTATCATGATTACGTAAAGTTTTTGAAAATTTTTCTGAATTGTATTGATTTTATGTTTATAAATTAAGAACTTTAAACGGTAGAAAGCAAATTTTTTATTACTTCACAAATCCTAATTTTTTTTTCTTTGAAAAGTGACTAGAAGTATTTTTTTAGTGCTTAAAAAGTACTTAAAAGGAGCTTATTTTTTGTTGAAGAATCTGACTACGCACCCTGTCTTCATTAATTATAGCGGTCTTTACAAAACACCTTTTTTAAATACGTTGTAATGATATGTTTCCTCAGAATTTTAGAAATTACGTCCACTAAATATATACAAGTGTATATAGATGTAAAATATTCTCAGTTGTAAATGGATCATGGGTTAGAGTCCCCTTGCTGTCAAGCTAACCGTGGGAGATTTTTCTCTCCATGTAACGCAACCGCGGCTAGTTCCACCAAAAAATCCATTAAATATTTACAAGTGCATATAGATGTAAAATATTCTCAGTTGTAAATGGATCATGGGTTAGAGTCCCCTTGCTGTCAAGCTAACAGTGGGAGGTTTCTCTCTCCATGTAACGCAACTGCAGTTATTTCCATCAAAAAGTCCTCCACAAAGGCGAATTTCTTCCAACACTTGATCCAGGAGTTCCCTTGTCTTCTGGATCGAGTTCAAAATTATAAGGCTTACGGAGTTGAACATAAGTAATCGTAAACACAAAAAATCGGGTTGGCTATTCAATGACGGTTATAAAATATGAAAAGTGTACATGGATATATTAATAAATACTTTCTTTTAAACTATAAATATGATGCACATATGATGACTTACCTGATGATATAGCATAGCAGAATTTACTCACGTTTTACATGAAAGTTTCAAGTAGTGCAGGAGTTGATAAATTTAAAGTAGTTGATGAGTGATCAATGAGGGTGGAGGGGAACAGAATAAAGTTTTTCGGGGGCAGTGGGCCTCACTAGTTCATTGACCGAACCCATACGGGTAGAGGGTGAAGGGGGGAGTATTAACTGTTTGCATGCGGGATGCGTGTAAGAGGATTCCTCTTTTTGAATGGGTGCCTTGAAAAAATATTTGTTAGTTGATGTTCGTAAAGTTTTTAATATTTTGAACATTGAATCAAGTATTGCAGAGTATTTTCCTTTGTTTTTTTTCTTCCTATTATTTCAATAAAATTACTAAAACCTTGGTTTTTAAATGAAAGGTTTAAATAGTTTAAAATAAACTCATTCACACGTAGAATTTTGATAAGCATGTGTAGGCGTAATGAGAAAAATCGTAAAAAAAAACTTGAATTCGTAGAAAAAAATTTTTTTGTCCTAGTAAGGAAATAAATGAAAATCTGGAGAAAAAAATGGTAATATGGTGATGAGATTTTACTTCCGAAAATGTGATACAGCTCATGATAATTAATTGCTACTACATCAAGTTCATTGAAAAGTGCTTTACTACTTTTACTATGATCCAAGGAATATACTGGAACATGTATATTATGTGACCATCTGTTCTTATTCTTATATCCTGAAAGTTGAGCATATTTTAAGCAGATATTCATAAATATATTCTTAATCTTATATATCATATGAGTTTATTATATTTTTAGTATTTGCAAGGGTAGAAATAGTTTATTATATAAAATTTTTATTGAATAATATACGGGAAAAAATTCTGTTAAAATTACCGTACTGTAGTGTTAAGATATTTGATTAGATAACACATAATTCAATTAATGAAACCAAAAATATACGGTATTTAAACCATTAATTTGATAATATTTTGGTTATCGTTTACCGGTTTTCAAAATTTTAGTTCTTATTACCATTTATTTAGTAAATAATACAAAACAGAAGAATAAATTTAACCAAGTAAATGGGTTTTTTTTGCCATGATCTTAGGTATCATTATAAAATCACCACATTTACCTATTTTCATTACATATTATAGAGTATAACCAGACCAGATTGTAACCAGGTTTTATTCATAATGTTATCAAATTAATTACCGAAACGCTTTGGGAAAAATTACCGCTCTTTTAAGTGTTCCCATAAGCCAGAAATATTTTAAACTTTACCATATTCTGGTAGTTTAAATCAAACATTTTTCTCGGTGCATTGCTAATAATTTCAAGAGTACAAATAATTTATTTTACAATATTTTTTATTTGTTAATATAAAATGGTATTTTAATTTCAGTTTAAGAAATGTGCAACTGAATATTGACCGACAATTACGTGTTTAGTTGTGCTAAGTGAAGTAAAGTGACCAGTACAAGTACAAATGAAGTGACCGATAATCAAGTGTATGTATTTTAAATAAGTAAAGGAAAATTGGCTTCCGTTTAGCATATGAATAATGATTATCTTTATTTATCAAATTTACTAAATATGTAGACGACTCTAAACTATACTTTCTATATAGGTAGATATGTAAAGTTTGTTTTATCTTTGTTCATTTCCACGTGACATTATTTCATTTAAAATTTTAAGATATAGAAACTTTATTTATTCAGATCATTTCACAAAAAAGAAAATAATAAAAAATTTATAAATTTCATTCATTTGAAGTAATATTCTTTTTTACTCACACTTTTGTTAAACAAGGAATATTGCAAAATAAAGTATGGAAAAAAAATTTGTTAATTTTAAATTTAGTGTCGGTTTAGTTATAAATCTTTCATTAATACCTTGGAAAATATTTTTTAATGTGTAATTTATGTACGATGCAGAAAATTTTATCTTGAACCACATACAATTTTTATCTACTTTTAAATATTCAGAATATTCCAAATTTTATTTAACGTTAAATAGACATTAAATGTTATTCTTTTAATTATCAATAGCTTTTATTAAATGCAATGATGTACATTTTTTGATGTGTAAAGTAACTTATGCACGATTCAGAAAATTCTATCTTGAACTATATACAATTTTTATCTACTTTCAAGTATCCAGAATATTCCAAATTTTATTTTACATTAAATATTATTTTAATTTAATAGTTATTTTTTAAACTTTTTTATACTATTTTAACTATTTTTTAAACTATTTTTAAAGATTTTATTTTAGCATAGAGATTATTCAGAACAATCACTTTAAATTTGAAAATCAACTCAAAAATGTTTTTATCGTGTGGCATTTTTAAATGTGTGTCAGTGGACAACCCCTGCAAAGAATGACGTCATTTGCCATTCATTGCACTTTCAAACAGTTTTCATGCTTCATATAGGGGGGCAGGAGATAGGGGTGGCCTTCATTTTTTCAAGGGTGAAAGGAGTGAAAAAGGAAAGGTGAACGAACCTGGAAGTAAAGAGTTTTGAAGGACAATGAGTGAGGGTTTTTTTTTTTTAGTATCGTAAATCGATATTTTTTTAAAAAAAATGTATTGGTTTTAAATAATTCATCGTAAAATTAAATTAAAAGCTTTATAATCGTTCAAAATTGAAACAAAAAGAAACCTTAAAAAAAATGAATTTTAAAAAATATTTTATTTATTAGTTAGTGAGGGAGAAACTCGTTTTTGTTTTGAATGCGTAAATACGATTTTTTAAATTTTTTTTTGTGAACTTAAAAAAGAGTTTGAAACTTAAAAAA